AAGAATGAATGGGGCCATGTATCGTGAGATTTTGAGTGAAAACCTCCTTCCATCATCAAGGGCATTGAAGATGAAACGTGGCTGGGTCTTTCAGCATGACAATGATCCCAAACACACCGCCCGGGCAATGAAGGAGTGGCTTCGTAAGAAGCATTTCAAGGTCCTGGAGTGGCCTAGCCAGTCTCCAGATCTCAACCCCATAGAACATCTTTGGAGGGAGTTGAAAGTCCGTGTTGCCCAGCGACAGCCCCAAAACATCACTGATCTAGAGGAGATCTGCATGGAGGAATGGGCCAAAATACCAGCAACAGTGTGTGAAAACCTTGTGAAGACTTACAGAAAACGTTTGACCTGTGTCATTGCCAACAAAGGGTATATAACAAAGTATTGAGAAACTTTTATTATTGACCAAATACTTATTTTCCACCATCATTTGCAAATAAATTCATTAAAAATCCTACAATGTGATTTTCTGGATTTTCTTCCCTCATTTTGTCTGTCATAGTTGACGTGTACCTATGATGAAAATTACAGGCCTCTCTCATTTTTTTAAGTGGGAGAACTTGCACAATTGGTGGCTGACTAAATACTTTTTTTCCCCACTGTAGATGTCTGAAGCGCATGCCATTGTCCTTTCTCTGCGATTGTCATTCTAATGGAATCCAGAAAGAACAAATCCCTGTCCTCAAACATTTACATCAAAAGATACAAAGTTATGGGCAAACACACAAAACATTAAATATTTTTCTTGATCAAATAACATGGAAAACAACCACTTTTTGTGCAGTATTAATTTACCATCCTTACAAACCACTTAATGTAAATGTACATTACTGTATTGTACATAGGCTGGTCCTCTAGGTTTGTACCTGTAGACTTTCCATCCCCATGAAGGAAAACAATGCACAATACTGTAATTGAGTATATTGAGACGTCAAGTGGTTCGTGATGATGTGATGTGATGACATAGCTCAGTTGGTAGCGCATGATGCTTGCAATGCTAGGGTTGTGGGTTCGATTCCCACGGGGGACCAGTACGAAAATGTATGCACTCATGACTGTAAGTTGCTCTGGTTAAGAGCGTCTACTGAAAAGGAATGAATAGACCATTTCAGTTTTCACATATAAATAAGTTGCATTTGCAAAGTATTTCAAGAAAGTGTAAAACATATATCAAGCAAGTATTTTTGTATTATCAGATTAACTGTTTTGTACAGATCATTATCAGACTCAAGTTACAAATGCTGGGAAACACAAATACATTTAGCTAAAATGTTTTCACAAAAGTAGTGCACTGGGCCTTTAATAGTCCTGTATTAGCGGACTGATATAGATGTCTTCAGCGCTGGCATTTTTTCATTCTGCATCACCCGCCAAATCGCAGCACCCCCATCCCCAAACTACTTCCGGTGGCTATGGGCCTACCTCGTCGCAGCTCATTTGCTTGCACTTGCTTAGGCTATACTTAGAGCTAAGTGTTAATAATATAAGAACAAACATTATGAATTTACTGAACATAAATGTAATAATGTTTGTGTATGGTTCAAAAGTCAAAACTCATGTCGGCATTCGTTATTATTGAAGGAGAATGCGGTTCTTCTCGAGTTACACAAATCCACAAGGAGTCAGAGTAAACCATAAGCTATGGTTTTTAAAAAGGCAGTAAATGAGGCTGAATGAACTCTTTCGCTGCCTGACGAGGCTCTTCTGATGAAAAGATAGCTCTGCTGTCACTCTACACAACACCCCATAATGACAAAGCAAAAACTTAAATATTACATTTACATTAGTATTCAGACCCTTTACTCAGTACTTTGTTGAAGCACCGTTGGCAGCGATTACAGCCTCAAGTCTTCTTGGGTATGACGCTACAAGCTTGGCACACCTGTATTTGGGGAGTTTCTCCCATTCTTCTCTGCAGATCCTCTCAGGCTCTGTCAGGTTGGATGGTGAGCGTCGCTGCACAGCTATTTCCACGTCTCTCCAGAGATGTTCGTTCGGGTTCACGTCCAGGCTCTGCCTGGGCCACTCAAGGACATTCAGACGCTTGTCCTGAAGCCACTCCTGCGTTGTCTTGGCTGTGTGTGTAGGGTCGTTGTCCTGTTGGAAGGTGAACCGTCGCCCCAGTCTGAGGTCCTGAGCAGGTTGTCATCAAGGATCTCTCTGTACATCTTTGATTCAAACCTGACTGGTCTCCCAGTCCCTGGCGCTGAAAAACATCCCCACAGCATTATGCTGCCACCACCATGCTTCACCGTAGGGATGGTGCCAGGTTTCCTCCAGATGTGACACTTGGCATTCAGGCCAAAGAGTTCCATCTTGGTTTCATCAGACCAGAGAATCTTGTTTCTCATGGTCTGAGAGTCCTTTAGGTGCCTTTTGGCAAACTCCAAGCGGGCTGTCATGTGCCTTTACTGAGGAGTGGCTTCCGTCTGGCCACTCTACCATAAAGGCCTGATTGGTGGAATGCTGTAGAGATGGTTGTCCTTCTGGAAGATTCTCCCATCTCCACAGAGGTACTCTGGAGCTCTGTCAGAGTGACGATCGGGTTCTTGGTCACCTCCCTGACCAAGGCCCTTCTCCCCCGATTGCACAGTTTGGCTGGGCAGACAGCTCTAGGAAGAGTCTTGGTGGTTCCAAACTTCTTCCATTTAAGAATGAGGAAGACCACTGTGTTCTTGGGGACCTTCAATGCTGCAGGAATTTTTTGGTACCCTTCCCCAGATCTGTGCCTCGACACAAGCCTGTCTCAGCGCTCTACCGACAATTCCTTCAACCTCATGACTTGGTTTTCACTCTGACATGCACTGTCAACTGTGGGACCTTATGTAGACAGGTGTGTGCCTTTCCAAATCATGCCCAATCAATTGAATTTACCACAGGTGGACTCCAATCAAGTTGTAGAAACGTCTCAAGGATGATCAATGGAAACAGGATGCACCTGAGCTCAATTTCGAGTCTCATAGCAAAGGGTCTGAATACTTATGTAAATAAGGTATTTCTGTTTTTTATTTTTAATAGATTTTCACTGTGGGGTATTGTGTGTAGATTGATAAAGAAAAGAAAAATAATAATCAATTTTAGAATAAGGCTGTAACGTAACAAAATGTAGAAAAAGTCAATTGGTCTGAATACTTTCCCGAATGCACTGTATTGCCATAGGGCAGAGAGAAAATTGCAGTTTTATAGCTAATCTCATGCTATTCTACACATTTTGCAATGAGGCTGAGAGAATTTTGCATTTGTAAAGCTAATTTCCTGCTATTCTTCACATTTTGCCATGAGGCTGAGAGAATATTTTTCAGTTTTACAGCTAATTCCATGTAATTCATTTTTTTTTGCCATGGCTTATGAGCTGTTCATATGCTATCTGGGGAGGGGGACCTCCTTGCGGGGGTGTGTTGTACACCAGTGATTGAGAACTCAAGGGATTACTAAATGCCCCCTTGGGTTCTCAAGAGCTAGACTCAAGAATCTAGCTAATGTTGGGGTTAAATCAGAGGAGGCTGGTGGGAGGAGCTATAGGAGGATAGGCTCATTGTAATGGCTGAAATTGAATAAATGGAACAGTATCAAACATTAAGAAACCACGTTTGACTCCGTTCCATTAATGCCATGATTTCCCAAACTCTGTCCTCGAGACCCCAAGGGGTGCACGTTTTGGTTTTTGCCCTAGCTCTACACAGCTGATTCAAAAAAATCAAAAAATCATCAAGCTTTGATCATTTTTATCAACTGTGTAGTGTTAGGGCAAAAACCAAAACATGCACCCCTTGGGGTCCAGAGGACCGACTTTGGGAAACGCTGATTATGCAATTCCATTCATTTCAATGAACCCGTCCTCCTATAGCTCCTCCCACCAGCCTTAAATACCAGTCTTTTCATCCAGTCAATCAACCTCGGCAGGTCCTTGGAATTAACTCTGGAGAGTAATTGTAGGAGTTCGGTTTTTTTACTCTATAAAGTTCATTTCAACAAATATTTTGCCACATACAATTGCTCATGACTGAGGTATATAGTTTCTCACGCTTACATTTTTTTGTAGAATATTCCAGATATGTATTTGAGATTTAAGGAGGTACGAAATTGGGATAACTATTATTAGTGGTGAAATGGAGTGGGGTTCGTATATATTATTTAATTAATGTAACTTATTGTAGAAAATATATTGATTTTGACAGAAAATGAACACGTGTTGAATAAAATTACCGTTTACTCTAAGTAGGAAAAAAATGACATTTAGACGACCTTAAAATCCAGGGGTCACAAAGAAGTAAACATGAACCCGGAAGTAGATAGGAACTCGGGGGGGGGGGATTTCGGATTTGAAGCTCCTTAATTGCTTTTTCGGGTTAGTTTTCTCAAACCAGTTGGCAAACCTAATGTAATGATCTTTATATTTATAAGATTTATAATGTAGTAGCTAGCTACTGTTTTGTAAATGTTTAAATGCTAGATATGGAATTAAGTTATAATGCTGTCGGGATCCATATGTTCGGCGAATCTCTGCCTCTGTCTCGTCGAGTCTATGAGTTGTCGATGTTAACGTTAGCTAGTTAACTAACAACTTAGCTAGCTTTACAAGCGGTGTGGATGCAATCGTGTCAACAAATGTATTCTTTACTTGAAAGTGTTGTAATTTTAAGCTTATGTATTTTGGTAGTTAATTATGTGACTTCAAATCCTGCCATGTTGTCTTAGCCATCTGTTTACTAATGTTAGTTAGTTAGCTAGGTAACGTTAACGGAGTTTGCTAATCACACATTGTTTTCGTTCACTGCTCAGTTTAGGAAGTCAACGACGGACGTTAGATCACCAATAAGAGGCAGTGAAAGAAAGGTGTGGTGATAAGGGGGTTCCCCCTCAGTATTGAAGCCGAAGAGGCCGTATTTCTCAACTGATTTTGTAAGTCCCTTTCCTCTATAACATTATTATCCAGTGGTTGTAGAAGTTGGCAGTATGACTATGAACAAGCTTGCTATTCCAAATATTTTTTCCAGGTTCCACAAGAACTGCCGAGATGGTGTTAGCTGACTTGGGAAGAAAAATAACCTCGGCGTTGCGATCACTGAGCAATGCCACCATCATCAATGAGGAGGTATATCATATCAGACTTCTTGTTTTTGGTACAACTTTTGGCAAGTCAGTTTTTATTTTTACTAAATAGTAGCAACCTATGTTGCCAAGACAGGTTTCACCCACGCAAGACCGTATGTATTCCCCATAGATTGTGTACTTTTTCTCTAGGTATTAAATGCCATGCTGAAGGAAGTATGTGCTGCCCTCCTAGAAGCTGATGTCAACATCAAGTTGGTGAAGCAGCTCAGAGAAAATGTCAAGTGAGCAACAGTATTCAGGCACACACTGTACTGTAGTAGATAAAGCTGAATTCTGTGTTTTAAAACCTTAGATTCATAATGTATCCCACTAATGTAATCCTCTGACCACAGGTCAGCCATTGACCTGGAGGAGATGGCCTCTGGGCTGAACAAGAGGAGAATGATCCAGCATTCTGTGTTCAAGGAGCTGGTCAAGGTCTGTCTCATTCTGACAATTCTTAATTCAATGTTTGTCATTTAGTGTTGTGTGAAACGGAACATATTAGAATACCTCCATACATTATTATTATTATTGTTGTTATTATTATTATTGGTTCAATGATGGTCCAGTGTGAAGGAACCAAAGGAGTTAAGGTTTGATAGAAACTTGGGTAGGTGTCTGATGACTGACAGCTGTTCGTGGGATTTCCTGGTTATTTCCATAGTGGTGGTTTTCAAGTCATGTGGTCTACCGCTTTTCTGAGTTGTTTTGAATGAGTCAACTATAACATACAGTACCAGTCAAAAGTTTGGACACACCTATTCATTCAAGGGTTTTTCTTGATTTTCTAATATATTTTACATTGTAGAATAATAGTGAAGATATCAAAACTAAGAAATAACACATGGAATCATGTAGTAACAACAAGTGTTAAACAAATCAAAATATATTTGAGATTCTTCAAATAGCCACCCTTTGCCTTGATGACAGCTTTGCACACTATTTGCATTCTCTCAACCAGCTTCATGAGGTAGTCACCAGGAATGCATTTCAATTAACGGGTCTGCCTTCTTAAAAAGTTAATTTTTTCCCACATATGCTGAGCACTTGTTGGCTGCTTTTCCTTCACTCTGCCGTCCGAATCATCCCAAACCATCTCAATTGGGTTGAGGTCGGGGGATTGTGGAGGCCAGGTCATCTGATGCAGCACTAAATCACTCTCCTTCTTGTTAAAATAGCCCTTACACAGCCTGGAGGTGTGTTGGGTCATTGTCCTGTTGAAAAACAAATGATAGCCCAAACCAGATGGTATGGTGTATCGCTGCAGAATGCTGTGGTAGCCATACTGGTTAAGTGTGCCTTGAATTCTAAATAAATCACAGACGGCGTCACCAGCAAAGCACCCCCACACCATAACACCCCCTCCTCCATGCTTTACGGTGGGAAATACACATGCGGAGATCATCCGTTCACCCACACCGCGTCTCACGGCGCTTGGAACCAAAGTCTCTTCTTATTATTGGTGTCCTTTAGTAGTGGTTTCTTTACAGTAATTCGACCAAGACGGCCTGATTCACACATTCTGAACAGTTGATGTTGAGATGTGTCTGTTACTTGAACTCTGAAGCATTTATTTGGGCTGCAATTTCTGAGGCTGGTACCTCTAATGAACTTATCCTTCCATTCCTGTGGCGGTCCTCATGAGAGCCAGTTTCATCATAGAGCTTGATGGTTTATGCAACTGCACTTGAAGAAACTTTCAAAGTTCTTGAAATGTGCCGGATTGACTGACCTTCATGTCTTAAAGTAATGATGGACTGTCGTTTCTCTCTGCTTATTTGAGCTGTTCTTGCCATGATATGGACTTGGTATTTTACCAAATAGGGCTATCTTCTGTATACCCCCCCCTACCTTGTCACAACACAGCTGGTTGGCTCAAACACATTAAGAAGGAAAGAAATTCCACAAATTAACTTTTTAAGAAGGCACACCCGTTAATTGAAATGCATTCCTGGTGACTACCTCATGAAGCTGGTTGAGAGAATGCCAAGAGTGCGCAAAGCTGTCATCAAGGCAAAGGGTGGCTATTTGAAGAATATAAAATATATTTTGATTTGTTTAACACTTTTTTTGGTTACTGTGTTATTTCATAGTTTTGAAGTCTTCACTATTATTCTACAATGTAGAACATAGTAAAAATAAAGAAAAACCCTTGAATGAGTAGGTGTGTCCAAACTTTTGACTGGTAGTGTAAGTAATCGGTTTCGGAAATGTACTGTACAGTCAAACCTGTCATTCCCCCTCAAACAATTAGCTTAATTCAACAAGGGACCCAAATAGCTGTATTCTGTATGTGTTTTGAACGCTTAGCTCAATACGTCCTTAGTTAGGGCAGGCCTACAAATAAGAAGGCCTACCCTTGGACATAATACTCAACAGATCAGTTTATATTTCTTGTGGGTCACAGATCAGATGGCTTGTTAACACTTCTTTTTTTTTTTTTTTAAAGAAGCTTATGTGGTTGGGAGAGATGCACCCCTACATTCTCACTTCACATCTTACACAAAGATGCAATGCTTCTGTGTTAGTCGCATTTGATGGGATTGGATGGGAGTGTTTGTTTATTTGTCTAAGATTTTGCTCTTGTGGTTGTCTCTCAGCTGGTGGATCCAGGGGTCAAGGCTTGGACACCCACAAAGGGAAAGAATAATGTCATCATGTTTGTGGGTCTTCAGGGCAGTGGGAAAACCACAACATGTTCCAAGGTGAGCCATTCCTGGATATTAGCCTAAAGATAAGGTCATTCAGGTGGCCATTTGGCCAAAATATATTATGCCTTCAATCCTTTCACTGATGTACTATATTGAATACCTTTTCCACAGCTGGCGTACTACTACCAAAGAAAAGGGTGGAAAACCTGTTTGATATGCGCTGACACTTTTAGAGCTGGTAAAGTTTCATTTTCTTTGTCTATTATTTGTTTGATAGTCCTTCTCAAAAGATAGAAAAATTAGGAAAATAAAAAATCTACAACCTTTTGTGTGTGCAGGTGCCTTCGATCAGTTGAAGCAAAATGCAACAAAAGCCAGAATTCCATTCTATGGAAGGTATGACATGCTTTGCATTTGGTTGCTTCTCAGCTGTGTGTGATACAACTCAAGTAATTTTTGAGTGATATTAGATTTTTATGCTAATGCTTGCATATACAGTACACTAACTTTGTTAAATCCACAGTTACACAGAGATGGACCCTGTCGTCATAGCTGCTGAAGGTGTGGAAAAGTTTAAGAATGAGAGCTTTGAAATAATTATTGTTGATACCAGTGGTCGACACAAGCAAGAAGATTCCCTTTTTGAGGAGATGTTGCAGGTTTCCAATGCAGTGGTAGGTAGCATTTTGCCCAACTTATTGTTTCAACCTGCAAACCATCCAGAGCCCTTCAATGTCATCAATACAGCAAACCCATGCAAAATGTAATCTCTGGGGACATTTTGATTTCTCTGCCAGCCTGAGTGTTTGTATTGTCATTATAAAATGTATTGCTCCAACGAAAATGCACTAATGCGTGGTCTTATCCCAAGCATGCTTCTATTTCCTCAAGCAACCCGACAACATTGTGTACGTGATGGATGCCTCCATTGGTCAAGCTTGCGAAGCACAGGCTAAGGCCTTCAAAGACAAAGTAGAAGTTGCATCCGTTATAGTGACAAAGCTAGATGGTCACGCCAAAGGTGGTGGTGCTCTCAGTGCGTAAGTAAATAGTTATCTTTGCTTAAACAATTTATCCAAGTTATGGTGAACTGAGTTTCCCTTACTACTGAAGAATTCATGAACTCAATGATAAGCCTGACGTTTATGTAATGTTTCGTACTCCTGTTGCCTTTTACAGTGTGGCTGCTACTAAGAGTCCCATCATTTTCATTGGTACTGGAGAACACATTGATGACTTGGAGCCATTTAAGACACAACCCTTCATCAGCAAGCTACTGGGTAAACAGTGAACCCTTTTGAATAAAGTGTCATAAGAGGTCACATGGCATGTCGTTGTTTTTAACCCGTTTTGTACAACCTGTATTGAGTTGTGTGTATTTTGTCCTCAGGCATGGGAGACATTGAAGGTTTGATAGACAAAGTCAACGAACTCAAGCTGGATGACAACGAGGAGTTGATTGACAAGCTGAAACATGGTGAGAATGAGATAATCAGCTGACATGTAATACAGGCCCCATATTATAACTGACATACAGTATGCTTATGCCCTGCAGTCCATAACAGTTATACATTGTCATGTGGTATGGTTGTTGGGTCACATTGTTTTTAAGCTTCTTCTAATCACCATTTGTACCACAGGTCAGTTCACTCTCAGAGACATGTATGAGCAGTTTCAGAACATCATGAAGATGGGACCATTTGGCCAGATCATGGTAATTAAACGGCAACCTGAATACCTATAAAAAATAATGAAGATCAGCGCTACACAGTAAAGCTTATCTCTTATAGGGCTTCATGCTATAGATAAAACAAGACTGTCAATGTTTCAGCACAAAGGCCTTTCGAAACAGTCTCAACTGTATCCCTTGTTTTTTTCATTTGCCCTGATCATGGTAAATAATGGCAACCTAAATACCTAAGAATGTTTTTGCAGTGCCTTCAGAAAGTATTCATACCCCATGACTTATTCCACATTTTGTATTATAGCCTGAATTCAAAATGGATTCAATCGATAAACCAAAAACCCATCTACACGATACCCCATAATGACAAAGTGAAAACATGTTTTTAGAATTTTTTTCAAATGTATTGAAAAGTCTAAGCACTTTCCACACCTGGATTGCGCAACATTTGCCCAATATTCTTAAAAATATTCAAGCTCTGTCAGATTTGTTGTTGATCATTGCTAGACACCCATTTCAAATCAAAATGTATTTGCCACATGCGCCTAATACAACAGATGTAGACCTTACAGTGAAATGCTTACTTACAAGCCCTTAACCAACAATGCAGTTTTTAAGAAAAGTAAAAAGTGTGAATAATTAAAGAGCAGCAGTAAAATAAAATAACAGTAGGGAGGCTATATTTATGCATTTTGAAGTAGATTTATGTCAAAACTGTAACTCGGCCACTCCGGAACATTCACTGTTTTCTTTGTAAGCAACTCCAGTGTGGATTTGGCCTTATTTTAGGCTATTGTCCTGCTGAAAGGTGAATTAATCTCCCAGTCTCTGGTTTTAAAGCAGACTGAACCAGGTTTTCCTCTAGGATTTTGCCTGTGCTTAGCTCCATTCCATTTCTTTTTTTTTCTTCCTGAAACTCCCCAGTCCTTCACGATTACAGGCATAACCGTTACATGATGCAGCCACCACTGCTTGAAAATATGGAGAGTGATACTCAGTTGTGTTATATTTGGGGCAAATCTAATACACAACACTTTGTATTCAGGACAAAAAGTGAATTGCAGTATACATGCATTGCCTTGTTGCAAACAGGATGCATGTTTTTGAATGTTTTTTTATTCTGTACATGCTGCTTTACACCCTGTCAATAAGGTTGGTTTTGTGGAGTAACTACAATGTTGTTGATCCATCCTCAGTTTTCCCCTATCACCGCCAATAAACTCTGTAACTGTTTTAAAGTCATGGTTGACCTCATGGTGAAATCGCTGAGTGGTTTCTTTCCTCTCCGGGCAACTGAGTTAGGAAGGACGCCTGTATCTTCGTAGTGACTTGGCATATTGATACACCATCCAAAGTGTAATTTAATAACTTCACCATGCTCAAAATAATATTCAATGGCTGCTTTTTTGTCTATTTTTACCCATCTACCAATAGGTGCCCTTCTTTGCGAGCCATTGGAAAACCTCCCTGGTCTTTGTGGTTGAATCTGTGTTTGAAATTCACTGCTCGACTGAGGGACCTTACAATTATCTGTATGTGTGGGGTACAGATATTAGGTAGTCATGTTAAACACTATTGCACACAGTGAGCCCATGCAACTTATGTGACTTCTTAAACAAATCTTTACTCCTGGACTTATTTAGGCTTGCCATAACAAAGGGGTTGAATACTTAATGACTCAAGACATTTTAAGTTTTACATTTTATTAATTTGTAAGAATTTCAAAAAACATATTTCCACTGACATTATGGGGTATTGTGTGTAGGCCAGTGACAAATCTCAATTTAATCAATTTTAAATTCAGGCTGTAACACAACAAAATGTGGGAAAAAATCAAGGGGTGTGAATACTTTATGAAGGCACTGTATGTTCTTCTAATCACATAAGATACCAATGCTAATCTTACTTCTGTTATTGTCAAGGGTATGATCCCAGGTTTCGGAACAGACTTCATGAGCAAAGGTAACGAGCAGGAGTCCATGGCCAGGTTGAAGAAACTCATGACAATTATGGACAGCATGAATGACCAAGGTAAATACACGCTAAGTGTACAAAACATTAGGAACCTGCTCTTTCCATGACAGACTGACCTGGTGAAAGCTATGATCCCTTATTGTTGTCACCTGTTAAATCCACTTCAATCAGTTTAGATGAAGGGGAGGAGACAGGTTAAATAATGTTTTTTTAAAAGCCTTGAGTCAATTGAGACAGATTGTGTATGCGTGCCATTGAGGGTGGATGGGCAAGACAAAATATTTAAAGTGGAACTGACAGCGTTTTAGCTACTTTGCAGATATGAAACAGACAATCATCTCAAATTACCAGTTTATAATTCAAAACAAACTTTAGAAGAGGTTGTAAAAATAGGTTATATTTGACTCAATTCCATGACTTAACAGTAAGGCATTGTTGACAGAATAGATTAATGCAGTTAAATGCATGATTCATATAATACACCAATACATTTCTTGGTAGTCCAAAAATTATTGCTATCATGTTGTAAATCACAGCTGGCCTGGTACATTGTTTGCCACTGCCACCCATTCAGGATGCACCATTTCAGTTTTAATGACATATTTTTAACAAAAACTGACTACTGTAACTGAGGCTGAGAATGTCAATACAATCAAACTAGAAATGGCAATGATCACAAGTCAGTGTGATGTGGCTAATAGGCTAGCGCACACAAGCAAGTCTAAATGAGTTGAGTCATTTAGTTTATGAAATTACAGCCTGATGCGCTCACAATCGCTGCCAAAGGTGCTTCAACAAAGTACTGAGTAAAGGGTCTGCATACTTACAGTGAGGGGAAAAAAGTATTTGATCCCCTGCTGATTTTGTACGTTTGCCCACTGACAAAGACATGATCAGTCTATAATTTGAATGATAGGTTTATTTGAACAGTGAGAGACAGAATAACAACAAAATCCAGAAAAACGCATGTCAAAAATGTTATAAATTGATTAGCATTTTAATGAGGGAAATAAGTATTTGACCCCTCTGCAAAACATTACTTAGTACTTGGTGGCAAAACCCTTGTTGGCAATCACAGAGGTCAGACGTTTCTTGTAGTTGGCCACCAGGTTTGCACACATCTCAGGAGGGATTTTGTCCCACTCCTCTTTGCAGATCTTCTCCAAGTCATTAAGGTTTCGAGGCTGACGTTTGGCAACTCGAACCTTCAGCTCCCTCCACAGATTTTCTATGGGATTAAGGTCTGGAGACTGGCTAGGCCACTCCAGGACCTTAATGTGCTTCTTCTTGAGCCAGTCCTTTGTTGCCTTGGCAGTGTGTTTTGGGTCATTGTCATGCTGGAATACCCATCCACGACCCATTTTCAATGCCCTGGCTGAGGGAAGGAGGTTCTCACCCAAGATTTGACGGTACATGGCCCCGTCCATCGTCCCTTTGATGCGGTGAAGTTGTCCTGTCCCCTTAGCAGAAAAACACCCCTAAAGCATAATGTTTCCACCTCCATGTTTGACGGTGGAGATGGTGTTCTTGGCGTCATAGGCAGCATTCCTCCTCCAAACACGGCGAGTTGAGTTGATGCCAAAGAGCTCGATTTTGGTCTCATCTGACCACAACACTTTCACCCAGTTCTCCTCTGAATCATTCAGATGTTCATTGGCAAACTTCAGATGGCCCTGTATATGTGCTTTCTTGAGCAGGGGGACCTTGCGGGCGCTGCAGGATTTCAGTCCTTCACGGCGTAGTGTGTTACCAATTGTTTTCTTGGTGACTATGGTCCCAGCTGCCTTGAGATCATTGACAAGATCCTTCCGTGTAGTTCTGGGCTGATTCCTCACCGTTCTCATGATCATTGCAACTCCACGAGGTGAGATCTTGCATGGAGCCCCAAGCCGAGGGAGATTGACAGTTCTTTTGTGTTTCTTCCATTTGCGAATAATCGCACCAACTGTTGTCACCTTCTCACCAAGCTGCTTGGCGATGGTCTTGTAGCCCATTCCAGCCTTGTGTAGGTCTACAATCTTGTCCCTGACATCCTTGGAGAGCTCTTTGGTCTTGGCCATGGTGGAGAGTTTGGAATCTGATTGATTGCTTCTGTGGACAGGTGTCTTTTATACAGGTAACAAGCTGATATTAGGAGCACTCCCTTTAAGAGTGTGCTCCTAATCTCAGCTCGTTACCTGTATAAAAGACACCTGGGAGCCAGAAATCTTTCTGATTGAGAGGGGGTCAAATACTTATTTCCCTCATTAAAATGCAAATCAATTTATAACATTTTTGACATGCGTTTTTCTGGATTTTTTTGTTGTTATTCTGTCTCTCACTGTTCAAATAAACCTACCATTAAAATTATAGACTGATCATTTCTTTGTCAGTGGGCAAACGTACAAAATCAGCAGGAGATCAAATACTTTTTTCCCTCACTGTATGTACATGTTATCTTAAAGTTGTTTTGTATAAATTTGCTAAAATATCTAAACCTGTTTTTGCTTTGTCATTATGGGGTATTGTGTGTAGATTGAGGGGGGGGGGGGGATGGGAACAATTTAATCTATTTTAGAATAAGGCTGAAACGTAACAAAATGTGGAAAAAGTAAAGGGGTCTGAATACTTTCCGAATGCACTGTATTTTGAGTGCACCATACAGCAATGCTGCATTGAACCGCACCTGTGATCCATGCAGTGCAAAAAAATGAAACGTTTAAATGTTACAACAACCTAATAGCTAAATTTTAGTTATTTGTAGTTAAATACATATCATATATTAATATATAATATATTTCTTTACTTTTTACCCCTTTTCTATTTATTTTTCTCCCAATTTCATGATATCCAATTGATAGTTAGTCTTGTCCCATCGCTGCAACTCCCTTACGGACTCGGGAGAGATGACGGTCGAGAGCCATGCGTCCTCAAACACGACCCTGCCAAGCCGCACTGCTTCTTGACACAATGCTCGCTTAACACGGAAGCCAGCCGCACCAACGTGTCAGCGGAAACACCGTACAACTGGCGACAGTGTCAGCGTGCAAGCGCCCGGCCCGCCACAGGAGTCGCTAGAGCGAGATGGGACAAGGATATCCCAG